GGTACATGAACAGGAACAGTCGGAGGCTTCCATGCCTAGTTCATGCAAGGTCATCGCCGGTAATAACCCGGGGGTTGACATGGGAGAGTTCTACCACCGTAGTGCTTGGCGATACCAAGATATTGCAACGCCCGCGCTGCGAAATTGGCCGGGTTTTCCAGCTGTCGAATAGAAATGCAACGTCCAGCCCCCGCGTTTTGTGTCGCAAGCCACCGAAACAGTGATCGTCATGCGAAAGAGCATTTCAGTAACCCATATGCATGTCTCAGGAAACATGAGCTGATTCAATGTATGACGAGAACATCATTTGTTCCCGTCATCGATATGCAGTGCTCAGTGACATGGACTTGGACAGGGGCTCCTCTTATCTCGCAGCACTATACACTTCATTTTGCCGACTGCCACTCCATCACGACACGCATTTCGACCAGCGACGTTTGTTGCGCATAATAGAAACACAGCAACCACAAACCACAAACCAGGCCGGCATATCGACGTTGTTTGATGAACCCGGGCTTGTGCGCGCCCACAACACAGGGGTCATCCTAGAGTTTCCCCAGACTCTCCGGAGCAGGGCTCGCAGGGCTAGGTGACCGAAATAGTCCGGTTGCAGTTGCTAGTGCATCCCTCAAGAAATGCGGAATATGACATCTCAGTCGAGAGAGCTCGAGAGCTAGCAGTCATCACATCATCTCCTCTGTCCGGCCAAGGCAACGCTTACGATACTCCACCTATGTTTCTAGTTTATGGGTGTATGTCGCGTCGTTGTTATGCGTGCCCCAGATGAATGAGCGCCGCGCCCATAGAGCTTTCATTTGTCAGGCGTAGTAATTGCGGTCCGAACTAATATCCAGCGTACTACTAGTAGTTCTGGAGGAGTGATGCCCCCATCATGAACAGGATCCATCGGCCCTCCGTTCTACTTACTAGCTACCTACCTAGCGACGGGCCGTTCTGGGTTACTGAGGTGACCCATCAGGTTACACTGCTGTGACCAGACACCTGCAGTAGAAATTCTGTCGTTGGTGGAGCTATAGCGGAAAACGGTCTTGTGATCTCTTGCAGCTGTCGCAGTGTCTTTCCTTATCTGCAATTCCCCCACAAGCTGTCGCATCAGTCAACCCTCAAAATGCGACGCTTATATGTTAAGTTTTATACACCTAGAGCAAGGTGAGAGGATAGTGATACCGCTTCCGCCACTTATGTACTCGATCTATATTACAATGCGCACTTCATGATCGCTGGTTTCACTCACCACGACACAGCATGAGATGTAGTGATACGGGATACTGTAACGGGCGATGCCGCCTACGAGCAATATACCATGATAACATACGTGAAAACATCATGTTCCTTTCTCCCCGTACGATGTCACATCCTGTCTCTCTGTAGCCATCGTCATCTTTTTGCTAAACCATCCAGTTGACACTCCTCTACAGGTAATTGTTGCTTGGCAGAGGGGGGTGTGATTATCTAGTCCACACGAGCCTCTACACCTTGTCGATCTACTATTGAAGTTAGAGAAGCACTGGACATCATTAACACTGCACCAATATCGAGTTCGTGTACAATTGATCCAGTCTTCTCCATCGACTCTGTGCAAACCATCAAGCGAGCCGATAGTCCAGAGCTGGCGATGAAGCTTGCTGCGTTTCCGTATCGTGGACTAGTCCAGAACGAGCTGGTTTCGGTATCTCGGGGAAGCTCAAGAGTACACTTCAGTAGCAATGGGACCGCAACTACATAGACATGACGGCCATCGCCGACGGTAGCTGGGAATATTTTTGGGCTATTGGAAACCCATAACCGAGGGTCTAGACTTGGTATCCCAAAGGAATTTTTTCAGATTGGGTTTGAAGTTTCTTTTCGCACCGCGTTGCATCACTCGGGCATGGTGCCACTAGAACAGCGCATCTATTGCTAAGGTACCACCAACCTGCATGATACGCGTCTTCTTTTTCGGTGGAAGGAAGAAGAGACTCCTGCATTGCCCACTCACAACTCGCATTCTAGAGCTGAGTCTCCCCTCATGCCTCATCCAGATTACTGTCCACACACCTTTCGGACTTCGCCTGGTCGAAAGATCTGTTGTAAGGCTAGAACGGGGACTCAGTAGCGCCAGAATCGAAGCCACCGAATCACCTCTGGAAAGACCCTGTACGATTCTGACACCTTTTCTCCATGTCATTGGTCGCCACGAGCGCCGACAGCACGGTAACACTCTTGCGCCATTGCTTTTTGCCTGCTGGTTCACACTTCCAAATACACCTCGGTTGAAACAACATTTGGTCGCCAGGCAAATGACAGCGAACGCACCAAGCGTCTAGGTAGAACAGAGCCAGTGTTGCCGCTTACCGGGGTCCATACCTACACGTACTTTGTAGATCTAGACCTGGGGATCTCGTTGGTCCCATATCGGGTTGTGGCTGCTTCGACTGTAACAACTTGCAGAAGGAAGCACATACAGCGCGTGACTACACTTTTCATCGGCCCGCCCACTCTCTGCCCCTTTAGCTGGAACCGGAGTGGCTTGACACATGCTCGCATGCTGATTAACATACCTAAAAGACATCTGCCTTCTCTGAGACTGTTCGGCTGGCACTCAATCGCCCGGAAAGGGGCGTAGCCGCGTTGGCACTTACCAATTTTATCCTAGCCACAAGGCTCCTCGCTCTCCGGCCAAACCTCCCAAGCTAACCAATCCCATAAGTAAAACAACACATGGGTTGGTGGCATTGAATGTGGGCTAGATGTAAGGTTATCAGGAGGAACAGCACTGTTGGCGCTAAGATCGCATGCCGCATGAAATTAGCTACACTGCAGGCCGTTCCTACCGCCCATAGTATGAAGCTGTTCAGGAACGCAAGGTAAGGGGAGCACCAATCTGCATATCACAGCTAGCTGCGGATATCATGCGAGCGAAGATAGCCGCTGACAGCCGCTTGGATCCCATGGATCCTGTGTGGTCTCGGCAAGAAACCCTGAGGCCACCGTTCCAGAGCCGTGGGCGTTGACGCTTCGGGACCAAGGTGGGCAATGGTGTGAGATTCCGCGTTCGTATATGGCTTGGCTGAGCGGCACATTGCCCATATGTCAAGGTGAGCGGAAGAGGTCGACGCCATCTCAACTGACAGCGGCACAGCAGCATAGTGCCGTGATCTGGGCCAGTCGTACGCATACTTCGTTTCGTGTTGGTAATCTCTATGTATGGGCCCTTGGCACACCAATGGTCTGTTAGGGCTGTCATTGCTCGTTATTTTTTGTCTATTAACCTACCAAGTACCTAAACCAGACAGGTTCACATTTGCCGCGACGGCAACAGTCATGCTGTAACAGAGATGAGTGGCAAAAATTCGCCCAGCGCTTCGTCTTGCAAGCATCCTGACATTGCCGGCATACTTGAGCTGCAACCTCGCTAGGCTGTATGACAATTTGCCGTCAGCACCAACATAATTTTGAATCAAGCACTGATGGGTTGTGATACCTGAGCATCGCACCCTTGTGTAGAGAACAAACTATGTACATGTAAGGCGTCTACGACTATGACAGGAAGGCAACCAAAGTTGCCGATCAGCAAGCTGGCTCATGCAAGACACAAACTATTCTTCATAAAATGCACATATTGTTTTTCGAAATGCCGGTTGAAATCATAAGTCACCCTGGCAGGTTGCGTCTGCAAGTAGCCGCCGCCAGGGGCAGGCCGAAGGCTGTGCCCAAGATGCTGTTTCGGCCGAGGAGACCGGACCGATGTGCTGCCATCCAACAGAACTATAGCAGATATGCTATCATCGGTTGATTGGTAGCTCAATGCCAGCAAGAGGGAACGGTATTCGTGACATGTCATATTGCTGTAAAGTCCGTAATGATTTGGAAGATCGTAGAAACATAACAGCACCTACCCGAAAGCGCGATCCGTTGCCTCCCTGGCCGCCTTGTCCCATGGTCTAGTCTGTCACCCTGCATTTGTTACTTCTCACATTGCCTTGATATCTAGAACGAGACCAAATTGACAGTTATTAGTCCTGATGTGATGTCGCTGTCCGTTACGGCCAGTCCGGTCACTTTTCGCATCTGCCTGCTGGTTTTAGGAGAGCATTTGGAATAAGCAGTGTATATTTGTTCACTCGTGCAGGCAATGAGATTTGACCGATGTGAACGGATGAAACATTCTATCATGATGATCCAACTGCTACTGAATGTACTACCACTCCTCCAGGGGAAACGCACGCCCTGCCTCTACCTGCTTCTCAGCGTCATGTGCATGTTCAATACCCTGCATGAATCCTCATAATGAATTTGATTCGCAGTCTAGATGGAAATAGTAGCAGAAACGGCATGGACGGCCGCCGCATTCCGAGTCGTCTCACGTCTCCGAACATCGGCGAATTGATCAGTTCACTGATCAGCGTACCGCGAGGTTCCGGCTAATTGGATGGCTCTCGGTAATCTATACAATCCGCATTAATATGCCGCGACTCGTAGGGTGCCATAGGCGTCCAGAGTTTGGGTGTTGTTTGTTCGCCGCGCAGCGTGCCATTTGATCGCCACAGTTCAACGTATTCTCATACGACTGGTTGCACGATGTCGGAGATGTGAGCTCAACTGACCGAGACCTTCCGCTTCGGTGTTTTCGCAGTGGACGTGTCAGAGCTGAGACGACTTTGCGTGACAGCTAATCGCCGATCCGGTAGTAAATGCCACTTCTCATTGAGCTCAGTTATATCGAATTCGTTTTCAATTGCCGTGTGTGGTTCTGTGCCCTTGTAGTCACTCGATGGATATCTAGGGCAATATTGCACCGAGTTAAAGTCAGCCTAGGTATCCGGCAAATATTGACGATGACGAGTCTTGATTGTCGGCTGCGCGGGGTTGAAAGCTCAATTGGGAGAGCGTTCACTTTACTTCTTGTTCAACGTTTGATTGAATAGTTGCTCTAGCCTTGCGCTGGACCCGTGATATTCAAATTTTTGTTTACTTTTTAGGTGTTGAAAGAGGAGTTCGTCCGGCTAGCTCAATGGAAGAGCGTTCCTCTTTTGTGGAATGGTTGCAAGTTCGATTCTTGCGTTGGGCCAGTTGTCTTTTGAATCATCCTTCACCTCTTATACTTGTCACAGTAACCTAGTAGGCTCTTTAAGAATTTATTGTGGCTGAAAACATATATTTCAATATAGACATATGCCTAATATTCCTGGCCGTAAAGCAAGATTATATGTTGAAATGCTTTTACCTTGGAGCGATTCGCCGGTCTTATTATCGGTATCGGAGTGCCTCTCTACCTAAGCTTGGCATAGCTAACAGCACGGATATTCGGTTTGAAACAATCCAGCGTTAAAGAGCATTGACAACTAAGTACTCATCATAAACTGATCTAAAAACTTACAATGCTATAGAATCTTACATTATTCACTGCCCTGGTAGGTCAAACGCACATTTTCTCAGTGATCACTTTGACAAGTATTTACATCAAGAGGGCTCTCATACCCAGCGTTACAAAGTAGCAGAGTTTCAACTGGCAACATCAAATGTGTAATGCTACTGTATCACACAGAAATGATCTTTAAATATTCTATATCTATATCAAGATGCCGGTTTCAGAACTACGTCGCCAACAACGACTAGATATTTTCGGGTAGTTATCAATAATAAAGTGCTTCGATGCAGCCGTTTAGAAGAAGCCAAGGGAATTCATTTATCCCCAGCTAGAACTTCTTCTTTCAATTTGAACTCGGGCCCTTCACACCTCACACCTCATCTACCTATGAGACAAGCAACAAAACCATACACGATAATTTCGAGAGAGGCCCAAGTTTTTTCTTAGAGAGTCTTCACTCATCGCTTAAGGCCCGACGATAGGAAGCGCAAATGAGTGGGTTGTTTTGAGCTAAATCGGTGCCTATGAAACATCGACAAGATAGATAGCGATGCTCACGTTTTTTTACACCCAAGGCATGAGTATTTTCATTTTCCATAGGTATACTATCAATCAATCGATATTACTGAGGCAAACCTACATTGAGCGAATTTTCCATATAACAAACATATCGCCCAGCGTTGCTCATGAAGTAGCTGAGTGCAACCCAAGATGACAATGAACAGCCAATCTCACCGAGAGGCTACATACGTACTTACTTATGGCAACGATGCTCGTACCATACAGTATTTAAAGCAGGCAAAAGATATCCGGGATCACGAGAAAGGCCAGGTGACATCAGAAAAGACACGAGCAACACCTGAACCAATTAGATTGATAATGAATTGAGCATATGCGCCGGAAAACAAGACCATCATACAACGCAACACCCTTGACGCACTCAGTCATTGTGAATTCGTAATTGAAATTCACATATTCATATCACAATGGAAAATATCAAATCAATTGATTTCGCTAATTTCTTTTTGGCAATTCTCGTCTTGCTTGGAAAAGGGAGCCTATACCTAGAACTACCAAGTCCATAATTAGTGAACCCAGCAACTCCTTCTCTCTCATTCGCTCGTCCATTATCCATTGCCGCATCCCCGGGTTGAGACGTCTTAGAGAACGGGCGAGTTCTCGACAAGAGGAAAGTCTTTTGTCTTGACTAATAATCAGCCCTTTCCCCGTATTTTAAACTCAGCCTCTGCATCCTTCCACCAACCACCAAGAAAACTAACTGCTTGCTTGTGGCCTTCAATGACTGTGGCTAATGCAACTAGACGGTGCTGCTCTTTACACAAATATCGATCGGCAATGACCCTCTCTCCATCGTCCACTCCCTAAACAAACGAGAAAAGGGGTCTGAAGGAAGCCCCTAGAGCCTCTCCCCAGCGGAGTGTCCTGCCACGAGGAACGCCGCAGCTTCTTCTTCTTCTTCTAATCTTTTTGGTATCACGTACAATTTTAAGCAGGTACGTTGTATGGGACGTGACTAGGTAGGGCGACCAAAGCCCGGAGTGCGCTCTCACTCACTCACTCACTCACTCATTACTCGGGCGCGTCATAATCCGTAGATATCCCAGCCGTCCATATCATTGCTTGACTGGTCTTTTGATGAGCTCTTGCTCAAAGTTTGAGACGGCGCGTACTCATTCCTCAGCTCTTGATTCAGTCATAGCTCGTCATCTTCAATCGCGATCTCTGACGGCTTCAGAAGACCGCCGACCTTGGCGCGTCGCTCGTGCTCGGCTGTCAACTTGTCCTTTGCTTCTTGCTCCTTCTCGACGACAAAGAGATCCGCGTTGTCCCCGGCAAATTCCTTCAGCGAGATGAGGAAGTCACGGACTTGGAGGCGGAACTTTTCATACGAGTTGTTCATGGTGAACAGACATTCTACGAATTGAGTAATTTGCACCCTGTACACCGTGTCAGTTCAGAGATTACTGGATCAACAATTTGGGGGACTGACAGTTGGAGATTAGGGAAGGCATTGCGCAGGAGGCTAGCGACGAATTCTCCGAGGAAGGTTTTGTTGCTAGTCCCGGCAGGCGCTTGGTCAATGTAGACGGGTCCTTGTATCTTTGGTGTTGTCCCATCGGACGGAACTGCAAAGTAAAAGATTCTCATTAGTAGTAGGGACTGCGTCTTGAAGCCAGCTTTGTGATCGGGATCTGTCAGAACGAAGAAAACATCCTGCAAAATCGTAATAAAGAACTGCTGGAAGAAAGCGTTGGCGGTCTGCACGTCGGTTTTCTCGGCGATATTGATGACCAGCTCCAGACACATGTTCAAGCCGGCACCTTCAACGTCTCGGTTGTCATGCTTGCTCGCCCACATGCACGCGTCAATCACAAACTTGAATTGGCGGTTGTCAAGCTTCAGCAGCGCAGGGAAGCAGTGAAGGTTGATGGCTCTGAGTAGATTGAAGAACTCAACCCGATGTTCGGGGAATTCCGAGAAATCCTTGTTAATCATCTCGAGTGTGCATTCGAAAACGTTTTGCATGATGACAGGGACCTGATCTTCCATGAGACCCTGATAGATAGTTAGCTCATCGATCGCTGATACACAAAGAAACATTATGGATGGCCCATCAACCTACTGTTAGTTTAGTGATGATCGTTGACATGGCCTTGAGGACTTCAGCATCCCGAGCGCCTGGTACATTCCGGTTGTAGTCAATAAGAACGGAATCCAAGAGTTGAGGGACCATCTGTTGTCGGACTGCCTGAAGATCTTCGGCTTTATCCACGTAGCTCTCAATCAATTTGAGAATCTCCTTCTTGATAGTTCGTAAACCTCTGACCTTGGGCATTCTCGGCGCAAGCTCTCCTACACGAAATATTAGCCACATGGCTCACCCAACGTTTGGCTATAGCAACTTACCATCTCGAGCAATAGCTTCAGAAATGAGTTGACTTGTCGCACGATACATCTGCAGCATATCTAGGTATATCCTTCCGATTTGCGGTCCGAAGTAGGCTCCAATAGACGAGCATGCAGATACGTTCGTCTTCATAATGTTGCCGATGATCTTGATTGTATCGGCGTCCTGCAAGATCTGGGGATCTTGGGTCGCGGCTCGAATGATCTCACTCCATGCGGCGTTAGGGGCTTGCATCAGCTCACCCAGCAGCCTTTCCTGCTGATGCTTGTTGCCCTGAGCAGCCACCATATACCCGCACGCCTCGTAGAATGTGTGAACTTGTTGAGGGGTCAGGTCACATGTGATGCGCTGAAGACTCCGAACTATCTCGTCGATGAAGGCTTCACTCTCGCTGGGTTGTAGAGCCACGAAGTGTCTTCGGCATTGACGCGCAATCTTGATAAATGTATCGCAAGCCATGTCCTGAACACCTGTCACAATGGTAAGTATAAAGTTTCGAATCGATACGCAGATGACAAACCTTCATGGGACTCATGCATGAACTCAAAGAGCTTGTTGACAACCGTCTTAAGGAATTTCCAGTGGGCCTTCAAGAATCGCGGATATTGTCCCACAATATACATGATATTGCTGGCAACCACGGCCTTGTTGTCCTTGCCACGTTTCATTTCGGTCAAACCCAGGAGATCTTTAATAACGGTCACCAGGAATCGTTTTTCCGTTTCTTCGTTCATGGCCAAGGAGATAGATCCGATTGCCCAGCATAGCACGTTGCAGTTGTGCCAGGACCACTCAGTCCCGTCCACTTGCTTCTGGAGCTTCTCGGTCATAATGTTCTCCGTGTCTACGACGTCTAGATGCGTCAAGTAGACAAGACACTCGCGAATCGTCTTATAGAGTTGCACCGTGTCGCTTTCCTTGACAAACTCTCTCACGATCTCGCCCTCGTCGTTCTCGACGATCAGGACTTCTTCGGGCCGGACCATTTTCTCGATCATCACGACACGAAGATTAGAGAGAACTTCCTTGTACTTATGCAGCCGTAATGGTAGGCTCTCTAGCAACGCTGGGTTGACGGCGCCACTGCCGGCCCCAGCCGCTGCCAGAGACAAGGGATTCATCTCCTGCATAGGCAAAGTCTGCATTTCCTCGTATAACTCCTGTACAAGCTTCAACCAATAGTCCAAGGTAATCTTGAAGATCTCGCGGTCCTCAATCTGCGATATTCGGATAAGGTAGAAGTGACCGTGCGTGAGGAAATCGCGGTTCGGGAGCTTCTCGACGAGCTAGAAATCATCGTCAGCAGGATGTCCAAAGCAAAAGGGGCTAAGGCAGTGTAGTGTACATCGACATGTTGTCCAAAGAAATTGCACAGGAAAAGAGCGAGATCCTGAAGGAACTCCTGATCTCTGGAGTTGCTCTGCGGATATGTGCTCTTGAGATCGAGATCCAGCGGGATGATGCCAGATATAGTTGTGAGAACCTCGACAAACATCTTCACCAATTGTTCGCTGTAAGTATTCGGCTGTCCAGGCCCGTTAGTTACCAAGCCACCAATCTCGGTAAACACTTGAAGAGTGACGTTGCGGAATTCTGGAACCTCTAAGAATCGGGTGCGTAGTGTTTCTATCAACGGCGTTTCGAAGATGTATCCCAGGGGGATCCAGTTGCAGAAGCGAAGAAGGGTTTCTAGTGTTGCCTTGACCAAGGTCGGTTGGTTGGCGGAAGTCAGAATCTCCTGGCATAGTTGAAATATCTGCGAGAACTCATT